TATATCTTTATTGATTTCAGAGAGAGGAAAGGAGAGGGAGAGATAGAAACATTAATGATGAGAGAGTCATTGATCAGCTAGCCTGCAACCCGGGCATGTGCCCTGACCAGGAATCGAACCCTGATCACCTGGCCGGGCCCCTGAAGCTTTTTACAGGGTTTCTGGCCCATAGTTCAGTGCTTGGTTACTTATCTTTATTATTAAACCATGTGGCCAAAAATGGGTCCACAGCTGATACTGGCAGATGTGGAGAAGGGAGCAACATCAGTTATGGTAAGACCCCACTGTTGGAAAATTAGATTGTTGTTAGTTGTTTGTTATGATAAACAATGCTGTTAGGAACCATCCTTCAAAATAAATCTTTGTGTTTTTTAACATTAGAATGTTTTTCTTTAGGGAAAATTCCTAGAAAGTAGACTGTAAGGTCCATCACTGTGCTTCTGAAAGAGGATTTTTATCATCTTAAAACTCAAACATTTGTAAGTAAAGGGACAAGTGTAATAAATGTCTAAGTTTCCTTCACCCAGTTTAGACAGCGATCAGCTCGTGGCCGGTCTCCTTTCACCTATAAAAGGCTCCCATTATCCCCTCCCTTGGATTATTTTGAAACAAACCCCGGACACACAGCATTTCATTCATAAACATTTCAACTTGTACCTCTAAAAGATAGGGCGAGAGCACGCACATTTTAAAACCCCTTGGAACCTATTGCCAAACTGCCTGCCAAGAAAATGTTGCAAAACTTCTATTCCTGCCAACAGTTTAAGAACATGACCTGTCTCCTCATTTCTGTCAAGCCAGGTGAACCAGTTCAGTGTCCAGTTCAGAGGGTGGGGGTGGGAATAAGTTCACAAAGCTAAAGCACAGGGTTAACAGAGGTGGTTGAAGACGGGGAACCAGTTACAATAACAGTAGAAAAGCTAAAAGGACAAACAAGGCACCATGAGGCAGCCCCATAGCCAGGAGCTTCCTACTCTCAGCCCCAGGGCTGGAGAGACACAGGGAGCAGGTAGGGACCGAGCCCAGGGCCAGGGCACGCAGCTGGGGCTGGGACACTGGAGGGAGGAACCCTCTAAGGGGAACTAGCGTCAAGGCTGCTAGAAATGCCACCAGAAGCAGAGAGAGAATGTCCTGACTTCTTCCCTCCTCTGTTCCACTGGTCATTCCTAACCTGAAGCCAATGATGGAGGGAGTCTGGGAAACGAGTTTGCATCTGTCCCCCCACCCCCACCCCACACACACGGAGGCTGTGCTGGAGTGGATGGATGGAGGAGGGTCTGAGAGCCAGCAGGCCCGTGGAAGCACCCTGGGCACTGCCACTTTGGTCAACTTTGTTAAGTAATCTGAGCTATTTATGGCCCCAAATGTCTGCAAATCATGAGCAAAGACATGAGATTGACAAATATAAAGTGCAGACGAAGGAGCGAAAAGAACATGTTGTTGAGAGAATGTAAATTAGTGGAGCCCATTTTGAGTGGAACTTGTCGATATGTCTCAGAATTTAAAATCACAAGCCCTTCAGCCTCATCACTTCCCTTTGAGAGATTTAGGTACAATTACCTAAATCTGGTGAGAGTGCTGGTTGTGGCATTATTTATAACAGCAAAGCACTGGAAACAACAGGCCTACCCACAGGGACTAGTTGAAAACCATGGAGGGGTTAGTGGATTGATTCTAAGAGATGCGACTAAAGAAATAAATGCTAAAAAACAGAACAAAAAACACAGTGTGTATAGCACACTTTCATAGGTTTATATATTAATATATGTATAGAATATGTCTCAGATTGTATACAATTGTTTTTCAAATCTCTGGCAGAGCTATTGCCTTGGGGAGAGAAGACAGAAGATTGGAATAGGATGGAGACCTATGTACTCTTTGTATTTCTTATATTTGTTCTCTATGCTTTGTGTTAGGGTGAACCATATGAAATTGCCAACATGGTGCCACTTTTGACCCACAAAACAGAAATTTCATATGTTCCAAAGTAACATTTCTTTTCTGTAATTTATTTTTTATTGTTGACAGTATTACGGATGTCCCCCATTCCCCCTTTACCGCCCTCCACCCAGTTACCTCCTCACCTACATTTCTTTATCAACAAAAGCAGTAACTAATTTTTAAAAGATCAACCAGGGAGCTATTCCATTGGGATGTGAACTTGGAGTTGGCATTTTCAGGAGAGTAAGAAGGTGGCCCATGATATGCCACCTGCCCAGGGTCAGGGTGATTTCATGTCTTCTCAGAATTAAGTGAGAAAAGCCAGAGCGACATCTCATGAGCTCGAATCTTGCAGGAGAGTTGATGAGAAAGGCTCCTTGATTCTCAAGACAATATCGACTCTTTAAGAGGCTTCAGATGAAGGCAAGTTGGGAGGCAGCGCGGGCTGTGCACGCTGCTCCGTCAGCTCTGAGGGCTGCCCTAGGCGAGGTGCAGGGCAAACCACACTGGGAAGCAAATTATCCTTTGAGGAGCTGTGTAGCTACCTGTTTCTAGAGCTTAAGTACAAATTTCCTCACTTTGCAAGATAAAAAGCCACTTAAGCAACCTTGACAGCTTCCAACAAAAGTCACCCCAAGGCCCTTCCCAGCCCAGAGCCTGCCAAGGACGAGAGGTCCTTGGACAGAGGACTGGGCTTGTTCCCATTCCCCAGGAACGCACATCACTTCCCTCAACCGAGGCTGCCGTCCTACAGGTAGGGGCTTCTGTTGCTCAGAGGAGGAAAATCGAGGCAGGATCAGGTTTAAACCCAAGGGATCGGTGAGCAATGATAACACCCCTTCTTCAGACTGTTTGAAGAAGTGAATGAGATAATATGTATGCAATTACCTGGGGATATTCCGTGCAAGGTGCCGAATCAGAGGTACCTGCAGCGATGATGGTGTTTCTCGTATGTACGTGGGAAACAATGATGCGAGAATGTGCTGAGAGGAGGAAGGTTGACAGAATGGTCGCTGAATGTCCCTCATGTAGGCTGGGCGGTGAGCTCTGTGCAACCAGGGACCACGTCTGCCTTACCTCTGAATCCCTAGCACAGTCCCTCACTCACAAATATGTGGTTATTGAGAAATCACTGCCGATTAAGCTGCTGGATCTCTCCAGAGCTGATGTTCTTTCTCTGCAGACACCCGTGTCCTAGGGTCTGACACCTGGAGAAAATGCCAGGCACTGGACACAATGCCAGGTCCATAGAGTGCTCGGGAAGCCCAACCAGTTCTCACTGGTGACTTCCTGTTGGCAGTTGAATTAATTCACCTCTCGCTCATGAATGAGACAGCTTTCCGAGCTGGGGAGACCTTGGTCCCACCCCTAAATAGCGGAATCACTCGAGCAAATGATCTGGCCTCTCAGCCTCC